AGCACCCATTTTACAAATATGCATAACCCATCACTGATTGCCGTTACTATATATCATGACCACATTACTAATTACCTTATCACATCTTTATCTTTACAGTCAAACTGTGTAAAAGACCACTAAACCAATACTTTTGAATAATTGATCCTTAATACCAGCCCTTGAGTTAGCATTCAATTTTATAGCTCAAACCCTAGACTGTTAAAGCTTTGAGTTGACTTTGACGCATCACCATCTGTTTATCACTAGTATGACTTAAAATACTTTCATCTTCTAATACTTAAGCCACAATGATTATAAACCAGACATTACCGATACAAGTATTCACTCAATTCAAGTGCTAATTGTTCCCTACCAGCTAAGCACCATGACTTGTGTACAACCAATCTCCACATCATGTCTTCATAATAATATCCAACTTCTTTAATAACAACTACAATTCCAAGGCTGCCAATTTCGCGATTTTTAATGAATAATCATTTAATCCAATGTACTGTCTCTTAGAAGTAGAGTTTAACATTATTTTCTTATTCTTGAATTCCGTTAGAACATAAATTATGATACCTAGAGTTTATTGAAATAAAATCTAAAATTTATAAAACAATAAAATTTTAAAATTTCAAATCACACTATTTTTAAGAAATAAGACCTGCTGTACAGTCTAGAAAGCCAGTTATTACTTGTGCCATGCTCTCAGAACCTCAAACCTTCTCAATCTTGAAATAATGCTTGATATGTGACTGAGTCGATCATGTGATCCGTCACGTGATCTGTCACATGATAGAATATTACATTATCGAATAACTCCATAATCTGCTACTAGAGATTAAATATAAATACCTATAGTAACATCATAATCCTCCAGAGTATCTACTTGCAAATTTATATAAGATTCGGGCTCGATTTGAAGAATTTGATTTTTCACTATATTGACCAACTTTAATTACAAATATCTCAAGTAAATAAAGAGTTCTATGAAAAACGATTATAGCCACATTAATTAGTGCGTTTGAAAGATGCTATATACTTAGTTTCAAAACAATGCAAGCTCAAAACAAAATTTCATTTGCTTAGTTGAACAAAATTTTTGGGCCCCCATAGTAAACAAATATACATATAGTCCAAGAATTAGAATTGATATCGAGCTCAAAGTTTCCATTCCAACTACAGTACGAGCGTCCCCAGTAGATCCAAGAGAAAGTTTTAAATTCAAATCATTTTTGAGAGTTCTATTTACCGTTTTCCATATCCTAACCATCATAAGTAATTTGAAATATTTCCAGAACCACAACTGCTTTAACCCAAGTCAGAGATTCTATTATATAGATGAGACTAACTAATCTAACTGCACTTTGTTTCGACATGAATTAATTGTGTTTGAGAAAAAAATTATCTCTTGATAAAATCCCGACATTTTGACAAATTCAAACAACAACCATAATGTTTTTAAAACTAAAGCAATTAATGAAAAACTTATATCTATGAGATTCTACATGCTCACATGTTTGATAAATATAGTTAGTCTTTCATCAGACATTCAAAAATATTATAAATGTTGAAATTTTTGTACCTAGTATAAACGTACCTGCTACAACCATTAATTATCCAACCAATAGTAATTTGATAACCAATACTAAATGCTCATCATAATACTACACCACTGCTTCTACAAGATCCTTCAGCAATAGAAGATACATTTATTTTTAGTACATTATATCTACATTTTCCCGAGTGGCATCTCCAAACTGTATAAGCACCAAAATTTCACCACCAACAAATACAATAACCCTTAGAAACAAAATCTCTTGTATATTTTTAACCAGCGACACAACCTCCATGTATAGCAGCTTCTCCAGCTATAAAAACAATATATATATCCCTGTTTGTGAAATCCAAAAATGATTAGGACCTTATAACTAGTTGAAACGATTGAACAACCAAATAACATCCATAATAACAATATCCCTTAATAAAATATGATGTGATTGGTTCTAGTGATCTAACTTTAGTCATTGAAATATATAATCACTTTAAATTGAAGTCTATTTTCTAACCATCATACCATATGCACATCTCAGAACCATTACCACTCATGAATTCATACGGTGATAACTTCAGATCTCTCATGTCATCGCCAATTGTTGGTCTTTTAGACCAGTTCAAAGTCACCTTGATATCTTCTTGCTGAGTGGGGATCATTCATCTGCAAATATATCATTATGACTTTCCAAACTTGTGATTGAGATTGTTTCCATTGAGTTTTAATTCTTTTATCAATCTGTTGATGACAATTAATCCTTTAATGAGTCAAACACTGGGTACTTCAGAGCACAACATTCAAATAATACATCCTCAATTGATTTACCAATCAACTTTTCAGCATTTTGAACATTGCCAAAATATCTAATGGAATATCAAGTTCATTTCAATGATTGATGGACTAAAGAGCTTTATGGTCAGTATTTGATGGTATAAATAGATGATCCAAGGTTCCATACTTACATTATATCACTAATCTTGTTGATCTTGTTGTTGTTGTTGTTGTTGTTCTTAGTTGTGAACATTCATTCAGGGGCAAAAAATTTTCAAAACAAAAAAATCGAGGACGGACTTAGTTTCTTAACTACTGGAGAAGCTTTCGAGGGCGTACAACCGTACAATATAGACAATTTAATAAATAAATAACACAATCCATAATATAATTGGGCCCCAAATTAGTTATATCCAACTTTTGGGAGAGATAGAGCTACAATTGGGTCAGCTATCATGTGATTAATACCAATTTTCAAATTCGCGGACCACCATTATCAACATAAACAGTGACAATTCTGCAGACTGAAAGCTTTTCTTGTCATTCGACAAATACCAGGCTA